TCTCAAAAATTCAAACCGCGCGGGTTCAATTCAGTTCATCGAACTTTGAGGTCGGTTTCGTAGAATTTCGTTCAATCTCATTTTAATCACCGATGGGCGTCCTTTTACCGTGTTCTGCCTTAAAACGACACAGTATATCATTGCGCAAAATACAGAATACAGAAGTAAAATTTTTTGGCCCAGCGAGTCCTTCAATGCGGTAAGTCAGTATTGCATTAAACAGTCAGAATACTTGGGTGACAAACCGTTTTGAATTATGTTGTACAATACTCTATGTTACAGCCCCACCAATATATATATTTGCATTTAGTAATTAATTTTGAAGTTTGAGTTACACGATTCATGTGATATATTATGTATTCTTGCCGCCATTCCAACACCTTTTAGACCCATATTATCCCATTTCAGCCGGAAGATGACACTCCAATAAAGCTGTCGCTGCGTCTTATACAACTGTTTCCTTTCTTTTGTGCGCCTATAATCTGCTCGACATCGCCCGCGTATGTTTTTGGCAGCGACCATCTCCTTGCGTTGGTCATAAAGAGCTTTGTAACGGCTGCGGACACATTCGATATTTTGGAATGCGTCGAAGAGGCGCTTGGTAGCCGCTCAGGGATTTCAAATGTGTACCTTCAGCTATGGATTGCCGGGCTACTCAGTCTATTCTTCAGCAGTCTATCCGGAGAAGAGAGCAGTAATTCGTTCATTGAAGACGAATCTGATTCCGAGTCCTCAACAACAGAATCCACTTCGACAGAATCCACCTCGTCAACATCCACCTCGTCAACATCCACTTCGTTAACATCCAGCTCGTCAACATCCACCTCGTCGACATCCACCTCGTCAACATCCTCCTCATCAGAATCCTCAAAAAGTTCACTTTCAGAAATTGCGCATGCGCAAACTAACCAAAACGAAGGCATTTTGGCGGGACCAATAGTCATATCCAGGAATTTGGAGCAAGATCGTCAACTCCGATTTCAACAGTTCCGTCGTGTTTTTTCTGACATGAAGTTATGGGCAATCATTTTGCCCATCATGCTGCAAGATATGTATTTTCTGTTTTGGCGTTGTTTCCTCATTCGCCAAGGCCATCAACTGAGCCCAAGCATAATATTCTTTGTAACAAAAAACGCACTGGCGATTATCTTGCACACCTTCTTGGCCTGGGCCCACCTAGGAGAACAGTCTTAGGAATTCTAGTTTGCTGCACAAACTAGCCATACTGACCTACACTGAAATGCTTAAATCACACCTGTCGTGTCTCTCCATCCACCAGAACTGTTTCTTTTCATGAAATAATTCATATAGTTTGTCACCGAGGAAGAAGGTGGATTTCGCTATCCGTTTCCATTTACTTTTGTCCCCTGCCCTTACTTGTCTGTGTTGTCATGTTCATAACAAAATTTCTGTATAGGCAATAACATTAGTTTGAATGCCTTTAATAAAGAAACGCCTATAATTTATGTTTAATATCTACGTCTTGAATCACTCCTAGATGTCATCTACCGTGTAAGGCATTCGCTTTCTGGTAAATGCCCTCAATTCTTGACGAGTCACCTGTACGGGCAATGACCGTCCATTTTGCCAAAATCATAGAACCTAATTTAGTAAATAGGAATAATCAATACTTCTCCCATTTTCAGTAAAATGGTCACTGGGTCGCATTTTTGGGTATTTGTTCCGTGTTTATAAGTTGAACAAATGTTATTCAATGCTTGGCTGCTACATTATCTGAAATCGATTATGAAAGGTAAGTGACGGATAGTTAAACAGAAATGGCCGTTTCAGTAGCCTTTTTTTACATGTTTGCTAATTGTATTGACTATAACTGAAACAAGGGCTGGAGATCGTGTGTTCCGAAATCGATCGGCGAGCGCCCATCTATATGATATGCACTTAGGGTATGTCCAAGAGGTGTAGGGATTAAGACAACAGAGAAATGTGCACTGAGGGAGAATATTGTTATCCAGGTGTTGATGACTACCGACAAAGAGATAGTCAGATGGGTTTGTGATGGTGTGCGAAAAGTGTTGTAGTGACAACTGAAGATGAGGCCAGGCGCCTGGATATTCAGGTGTAACTGGCTGCATCAGAAGAGAGGACGGAATGCTGTTTAGATGAAAATGCGTGTGTGTGCGGTTGTCTTTATTATTACGGTAAACGTCCGTTAGTACACGAAGATCGGAGTTGAGTATAGTGGACAGATTGGTCATCAAGGTGGTTGACTCTGCAGGCATTGGAATAGTTGCCTCCGAGGAATTTCCGCGTGTTTTTAGTGTGAGCCGATGGTCGCAATCAAGAATGTTCGCAAGCGCAAAAATTTTGGTGTCCTGGTGGCAGGTAGCCAGGCTCATTCCGTCAATATGAGTCCTAAGTTGTCGGGCTGAGTGACCGATTTTAACATGACTACCGTTTGTAGTCAATCCTTATGAGTTCCGTTCCCCGCCAACGAGCTGTGCGTAGGTTAGACGCTGGGTTTTGGGCGATTCAGATTAAGACTGATTATCTGGGCAAGGCATATAATTTCCTATATGCCACTTTTCCAGTAGACCGCTGATCGTGTTATAGCCTTTCGGGTATCCCGAATATCAGACTACTTGATATTGGTAGGCAAGTTTTCTTCCCGTGATATTCACTGATACCGTGACTTAAAGCGCAAAACAGTAGTTGTCCATCATATATACACAAACTCATTCGTTTATATTGCTTGGATACCACTTCATTCTTAATATTAGGGGACACAATGGCTGTCCTGGAGATTTCGCTTTGTATCTTCAGAGTGCAATGACAACACTAACACATTGCGATCCGTGCAAAACGCGCCGCTTGTCGTCTGGGATGACCTGTCGAAGAGCGTCAAAAAAAGAAAACCTGGACTGCTTATGCAAAATTGTCGACTAGTCGTACCAGTGCAAATGTTAAGGTAATGCTCTTCCACCTGGAATCGTAGGGTCATTCATAAAGTGTTTCAACACATGGTAATGGTTTTGGCTTGCTGATGACTGCAAACTAGCCAGAAATAACCATTCTATTGATGCAGTCATTGTTGACTGTGAGCGTGTGAAAATAAGGCCGTCGACAGAAAGAAAATATTTAGTCCCGCAACCCTCCATGGACTTTTACCGTTTAAGAATGACCCAACAGCAAACCCGTGGTTCAGTAGTTATACCGCAGGATGAAAATCTCAACATAGAACTGACTTGTTTCGGGTTTTGTTGACGCCGTTTCCAGGAGAGGTGATTGTTGGTAGCTAGTTTGCCTGAACTTATTTCTGGCCCCATTGCTTATGTCAGCTACTACGTTCTATCTTTTATACTGGCTGGTATGCGACTGGCCGAGTAGAGGTGGTTGGTCAGTAGGGTGAGCCTTACCGTTCTTCTAGACAAATGAGGCCAGTATTCAATCATTTTGAATATTACAGAACGCAATCGGCTACGCAGTGTGAACTAAATGCGATGACTAAGCAGCAGGCGTGGGCTTCGATCCTCGGATTGTCCACAATTTGGGGTCGCGTACGCTTACCTGTTGACTGCCCCTAGGCTAATAGGGGCTTTATATACAGTGCTGCAAATCCTGCAAACAACTTCCATGACAAAATTTAACTTGGTAGTTAAGCATCTATTTGAACAGTTTTTTTTGATCAACTGAATGGATTAAATGATTTGAAAGCCTTTAGTTTGGAAAAATGCCCTCTGAGTTAAAGTTATTGAGGGAAATAGGCACTCATTTTGGCTAAATCATGGGTATATTTATATTAAAGAAATTGTCTTTGCTATAAGGTACGACAAAGCCAAACTGTTTTCTTATATCTATTGCTGTGGAAGAATTCCATTATTAGTAAAAAAAAGGTGGAATAATAATCCCTTCCAGAA